GAACAGCACGGAGCGAGCCGCGCGGGATCCGGATCGGAACGCTAGACCACACGACGCCGTGGCGGGCGCCGCCCGCCGCGGACCCACACACATATCACATTCTCGGCTATCCACGTGGAAAAAAAAGCTAAAAGGCGCCGAGAACCCGCGAAATGGGCTCTACGATCTGTGCCACTGTGGCGCCCCGGACAGAGAGACGGCAGACGCCCGGCGTAAGGAGAACTGTGTACACGCGGATATACAACCGGTAGTGGTTTCCCCCCCATTGGTCTACTCTACTCGTTACGGCTGGCTCACTCCTCTCAGGCTCGGCGAATAGTGCGCAATACTCAGGCAGCCGCTCGGCGAATAGAATTTCTCGATCTTCTCGAGGTGGATATCCTTTGGCCGCGTTGGGTAGCGAGGATACGCCGTGTAGATATTTGAATATCTTGGTGACACGTGTGTTACAGACAGGGGCTGGGACCCACCCATGAGAGCGCCGGCCATTGTACTTGTTCATCACTCTCAACCCATTTTGCCTCATGGCGCCAGTCGAACCCCGGTCCCAACGAGATTCGAACTGGCAGCCACTCGATGACTTGATGGGTCGCAGTCTCGAACTGCATGTGAGCGGGCGCTGTGGGTTCGCACTCCCAGATCGTCCATCGACCCTCATGACCTCCTGTGGTCTCTCTGAGTCTGCCACCAGGGGGCGTGATCCCGGCCCGTGCGCTCTGCTCTCGAAGGCGGCGGCTCCCCCGCCGTCGCCGATCTCGTCTTCGTCTGCCCGCTTGACACTCGTGATTGAGATGCCCACCTCGCCGCCGGGAGGCGACGTAAACAGTGGCTGTCTCACGACGCCTCGAGGTGCGTTGAGCTGACTGCAACCAGAATTTTAGAATTTTACAACAAAACTCGAATTTTAGAATTTTACAACAAAAGGCGGTCGCACGACACGATTCACGCACGCGGCAGGCGAGGCCAAAAAGAATTTTTCACACGTCCATCGCCCTCCTTCGCAGCCCGTCTCGCCGTAGTCCTGTTGGACTGCATAGCGAGTCGATCTCCTTGACGCTCATCTCCCGCCCAGCCAACTAACTAACAGCGGTCCCCACTACTCACACGGTCACGCGCCGGGCAGCGGGGTCGGGATGGGAAGTCCGAGCCGCTCGGCGGTCTTCCGCGCCTCCTCCAGCGAGATGAGCTGCACTCCCTTCCCGTCACGCAGTCGCGCCGCCCGCTGCCCGTCCGCAGCCCACGCGACGCCCTCGCCGACGTGGGCATCCTCCTTGTAGAAGCCAGTATCCACGTCGCCGTTGGCGTACCGGTAAACGCCGCCCCCCTCCCTCTGGCCCGCCCTGAACTCGCCCTCGTAGACGTTGCCGTTGGCGAACCTAAACACGCCGCGCCCCTCAATTGTATCCGCCTTGAACTCGCCCTCGTAGACGTTGCCGTTGGCGAGCCGGCAAATGCCGCGCCCCTCCGGCAGGCCCGCCTTCCACTCGCCATCGTAGGCGTCACCATCGGCGCCCCGCATGACGCCCTTCCCCTCCATCATGCCCGCCACGAACTCGCCGTCGTAGACGTCGCCATTTGCCCACCTGTAGACGCCGCGCCCCTCCCTCTCACCCGCCTTGAACTCGCCCTCGTAGACGGCGCCGCTAGCCCACCGGGCGATGCCGACGCCCTCCCTTTCACCCGCTGTCCACCCACCCTCGTACACCTCGCCGCTGGCGAACCGGTAGACGCCACGCCCCTCCTTCTCGCCCGCTTTGTACTCGCCATCATAGACGTTTCCGTTGGCGTACCGGAAGACGCCGCGCCCCTCCCTCCGACCGGCCTTCCACTCGCCATCGTAGATGTCGCCACCGGCGGACCGCCAGACGCCGCGTCCCTCGGGCAGACCCGCCTTCAGCCCGCCCTCATAGTCGCCGTGGCGGTACCGCATGGCGCCGTGCCCCGCGTAACCGCCCTTGTCCTTGTCCGCTTCATCTGCCGCCGCCACTGCCGCTTGCACTGCCGTCCGAATCGCCGTTGCTTTGTCGGCCTCTGATGACGCCACAGCCGCTGCTGCCACTGCCGCTTCCGCTGCTGCCACTGCTGCTTCCACTGCCGCCCGAACCGCCGTTGCTTTGTCGGCCTCTGATGACGCCACAGCCGCTGCTACTGCCGCCGCCTTGTCCGCCTCTGCTGCCTTCAGCATGCGCAGCGCCTTGTGGAGTCGTGCGATGAGCCGCGACTTGGTCACCGCTGGTGCGTCGAGCACCCGGGACTTGTACGAGCGGAAGGCCGCCTGAACCCGCGTCGCCGACCTCTCGTGCAACAGCCGCGCCCGCTCGACGATGGCAGCGTGGCGGCGCGTATAGGCGGCGACTTTGCTGGCCGCTCTCCGCACCGCCATCAGCTGCCGCCTCGCAAGCAGCCTGCGAGCAGCGGCCTGGATCTTCGTCGCCGTGCGCTGCTTGCTATCGTAGCAGCACGCCGTGGCCTTGGTTCGCCACATAGCGTGAATGCAGCTTCGCAGGAACTCCTTGCTCGGGCAGGGGCTAACCGCGCCACCTTCCTTGAACGTGTCCGCCTCGGCTGCATGGATCTTCTCGAGTGCCCGGCGCTGCCCCTCGACTATCGCCGCCATTTGCTTGAGTCGCTCAGCCATTTGCCGCTGCTGCTACAGGAGGAGCGAGGCGTCAGTGGTTGGCTCCTCTGCCGCCGTGTCTTGCGACGAGAGCGAGGCGGCGGGCTCTGAGGATCTTGAGGCGACGCTCGTGACCGGCTACACAGAGCCGGGGTACAGAGCAGAGGGGTATAAACAAAATAAATAAAACTCCCAGCTCCCAGTCCTAGTACACTTGGGCGGGCACAGCCGAGTCGTCAACACAGCCTACGGCCTCGGAGACGAGTCGGGGGCCGTGGAGTTGGAGGGGGGGTGTGCTCAGGGAGCCCCAGGAAGCCCGAGCATATACAACTGGACGGTGGCCCCGGCACGAGCCTACGCCGAAGCAGGCCTGCCCGGGTACGAACTGCTCTCGCTCAGCCCCGGAAGGGGAGATGCGGGAGAGGAGGCGGGGACGAGCAGAGGCACCCTCCCCCAGTATGCAGACGACGACGCCCTGATGAACGGAGGCCAGGCGGAAGGCAGGAAAGGCGCCGAGGCAGTGGCCGAGGAGCTCAGGGAGGCGGCTGAAAGGCTGGCGATGGGGTACGCCGTGGCGGGCGTACGCAATCGACACCAGAAGTGCATCCTGGACATGAGCCCAGAGGCCGAGAGACTGCTCGGAGGGGAGTTCCGGCTCCATATAGTGGCGCTAGACGAGGAGGGAAGGCTCGTGAGATGCAGCGTCACGACGGTCTCTCACAAGGCAGCGAGCGCGGAAAAGGGACCAGAGACGTCCAGGGGGTCGGCCCGTTACCTCGGGGCCCATCTTAGTGCTCGGGGGGGCGGTGGAGGTGGACCGGAACGGTTCTGGGAGGAACAGGACGCAGTGGCGCGCAGAACAGCTATGGCATTTGACAGAAGCACGGCATCCATCCAACCGAACTTCCCTGTGACGACGCTAGCAGCGGCGGGTGTGTTGTACCAGCGAGTGAAGCTGATGTGGGTGGCCCACCCCCCGGGCCCCGAGGTGTTGGAGACGGCCCGTGTGGTGGCCGCTCGGGCGTCGTTGCGAGCCCTCCGGCTAGCCCCCACCCCGCTCACGGCCCAGCGCTCGGCGGCGATGGAGGTGGTGCTGCTCCCGCTAGACCTGGGAGGGTGCGGAACAATGGACCCGGCAACCAACCTGGCCAAGGACATAGCGGTGAACACCCTGGCGGGACTACAACACCAGGCTGCAGCGGTGAGGAGGTCGTACACCATCCGGATAGAGGAGGCCACGCGAGACCAGCCGATGGGGGGGGATGACTCGGCGACGCGATGCCCTCGGAGTCGGTGGAGCCGGAAGAAGCTGGCGAGGACGAAGGGCGGCAGCGGAGGAGGCGGCACCAACAACGAGGGAAACGGCCACACCGGCCGTCGCATGACGCTCGGGAGACGTGCAAGAGAGCTAATCAAGGAGGATCGGGACCCTGGGAAGACGGGGGGTAGAGCCCTCAGGCGGGGGGGTCTACTCAGCGACCTGTGCGAGTAAGCGCGGAGTGGTGGTGTGGGGCGTGCAGTAACCTGGTTTGTGGAGCTCCCGCAGATTACCTAGAGAGCACGGCATTCGGGGCCATGATGTCAGTTCCCCGATTTGACGGCTTTTTTGGATTCTCCCGCCCCCCGACCCCTCTCTTGGATTTTTTTTGTAGTGGAGAGAATCAAGGAATCTTTCTGCTCTGGCAGGCAGCTGCATCATTCCCCTTTACTTCAATCAGCTGTGTACATTCAAGTGCTATTACTGTCTGTATAGCTGTCTAGACGCTCCGATTTTGCTGTCTGGACGCTGTCTGGACACTGTCTGGACGCTGTCTGGACGTTGTCTGGACGCTGTCTGGACGCTGTCTGGACGTGGAAGATCGTCTGAGGTGTGAATAGATAGACCTGCTGCGCACAGGCCGCCGGAAGGCACAGGCGGCTGGCGCGTCAGCTGCACAGGTGCGAGCGCCGCCGCCTCGCCGATCGCCCCGCCTTTGCAGGCTGCTTTGCCGGCGCGCCTCCAGGCGGCACCCGCCCGAGCCAATCCACCTCGGCCGCGATCACAGCCTGCTCGGCCGCCTGGTCCGCGAGGCAAGCGCCCGCCAGACTGCGACGAGGCCGCCGCGCGCACCAGCGACGCACAGATTCGCTGCCACAGCTGCTGCTCTTGCTTGGGCGGCGAGAAGCGCCGTCTTTGCGGCGTCTGTCGCGGCGGAGGGAGGGCGGTTCGGCGGCGATGGGAAAGGACGGCGTGCCAGCGCGCGCCAGTCCCGTGCCCAGTGTTGTGCGAGGGAGTTTTGTCGTAAAATTCTAAGAAAGAAAGAAAGAAAACAAAAAGCCAAAGGTCAATTCTTGAGAGAGCAACGCGGCCCTCCAGCCTAAAATTCTTCTTCTCAGGAGCGAGATGTTGCCCAGAAGCCTTCTCTTCGCCTGCCTGTTGGCGGGCGCGTCGGCCTTCGTGCCGACGGGCGTGGCGCCCGTGCGTGTGCTCGTGCCAGCGGCCGGCGCCCCGTCGCTGGCGTCCTCGCCTGCGATGAGCTCGGTCATGAAGAAGGCCAAGGCGGCCAAGCGCAAGGGCAAGTCCTCGAGCGCCGTCGCGAAGCGCTTCAAGGTGACCGCGACGGGCAAACTGCTGCGGCACTCGGCCTTCAAGTCGCACATCCTCACCAAGAAGCACCCCCTCCGCAAGCAGAAGCTGCGCCGGACTCTCCAGGCCGACGAGTCACAGGCACGCGTCCCTGCGCCCCGCCCGCCCCCTGGGCGGTGCCGCTCCCCCGCCTGCGGGCGGGACTCTCGCCTACCGCACGTCCCCTCCCCCGCGCCGTGACTGCCGACTCGCCGCCCCCGCCGCAGCTCAAAACGATGCAGAAGCTGATGCTCGTGGTGCGTGCCCGCCACTGCCCCGCCCCCGCCCCTTCGCCCCTCGACCCCCCCACCCCACCCCACCCCCCTTCAGGTGCCGAAGAAGAAGTAGACGGTCTATTGACGCAGCTGCGGGGAAGTGTGTGTGTGGATGCCGTGCAGAGGGGCTGATCTTGAGGAGGAGGCGAGCGGCGCCACCCGTTGCCGCTGAGTTTCTCTGAGAGGCCGGCGAGGCTACACCCGCTTGCTTTGGCGAGTGACGCGCTGCCTACGTATACATAGATAAAAATCAAGAAGACACAGCTTCCGCCGTCGAGACAAAAACTCGGACCCACGAAGACAAGGAGCGCGCGCCAATGGCCGCCTCCGTGACACTCGTCACTCCCACCTCCTGGGCCGGCGCGGGAGTTTTACTGCCGAGTTTCTCCCGGCCGGCCGCCTCCTGACACGCCCACTGACCGAGCCCATCGAAAAGAATTCGGCGCGCCGCACTGCTCTGACCCCTGCTCGCCCCTGCTCGCCCCTGCTCGCCACTGTCGCCTCGGTTGCCGAGGCTGCCGCGCACCCGCGCGCTACGCGACTACGAACTGCACCAGCTGGGCTCGAACCAACGACCAAAACGTCCCCGACCCGAACGCTGCACCAACTAGGCCACACCGCAGGCTCGATATGCAATACGCACAAAACTGGCCGCTCATAAAGCACTACTCATTTGCCGAGGCCACGCGGCGCCCCTCCACAGCCAGCCTACCCTCCTATCGCGCCACTCGAAGCCCCGGCGCGGCCGCCTCTCGCCTACCGCGCTGCCCTCGCCTGCCACCGCACCGCCCGCGCTCCAGCCTAACCAGCTCTGCATCTCGCAACACACACTTGACAGGGACAGACCAGGCGCAGGAAAAGGGAGCGGGGCCCGAATCCAAGGGACCACCCCGTCGGGCGGAGGAGCTGTGAACTCAGGTCCAGCAGGAAGGCTGCTGGCTCCTGACTCATCCCCCAAATCCCCCACACCTTGGCGGCCTGAAACCTTACCATTCCGACACCTCACACACACCCCTCCCCTAGGGCTAAGCAGTGCGCGAGCCCACCCGACTTCAGGCGAGACGTTGACCACTCCTTTGGAACAGTTCTGTCAGTGGCTGCACTAGACGCCCACAGAGGCGCGCGGCGCGGGCAGATGACTAGGGGAGAAAAAGCGGAGAACCTAGCTCGCTGGGAGATGTGCGCAACCTAAAGACGGGAATAGGGGAGAAGTGTCAGTGTGAGGGGAGGGCGTAGGCTGGCGTTTTTGCCTTTGAAAACTGAACAGTTTTTTTCTTCCGCCGTCGAGAAGGCTCACCGCGCGTCTGTGCCACACGGCTCACGGGCGGAAGGAGGCCTCGAGAAGGAGGCGGTGCAAGAGGCCGGCGCTCCGCCGGCGCGAGTGCGGAGTTTGGAGAGAGAGAGAGATTTTTAGCAATACCAAACAACTCTAACAGAGCGGCGAGCGGAGTCCGGAGACGACGAGCCGGGAGAGCCGAGACCACTCGCTTTTCGTCGCTCCAGCCCTGCGGGTCTTAGAGGCGACGAAGCCTTCACACTCCAAGGGGCTGAGCCGAGACCGACGATCGAGGTTCAAGCGCGCAGGCAGCCCGACCGACAACGACTCAGTTTTCTTTTTTCGGGATGTGAGTGGTCATATAAACGTGTGTGTAAATGTCCACCCCACCGCGTCGCTCGCGCCGCCTCGCCCCCGCCGCCACCGCCGCTCCCTCACCCAGCACGCCGCCGCCCACCCGCCTCCTCGACCTCCCCACGGAGCTTCTCGCGCGCGTCCTCTCCAGCTTCGAACGCCCCGCCGACATCGCTCGCGTCGCGGCCGTCTCGCTGCTCTTCCACGCCTCGCTTGTGGTGGAGGGCATCCGCTTGTGGGCGCAAGAGCGCGGCTTCGAGCTGCCGGCGCAGCCAGAGGGCGAGAGCTGCGCCGTGCGCTGGCTGTGCTTCGCTGCGCTGCTGTGCGAGTCCAACCCGCCGGCGAGGGCGGCGGCAGGCGGACAGCACAGCGTCTTCATCGACGGCGAGGGGCGGCTCTCGTCGTGCGGGTCAGCGGCAACGGAGGGCGAGGAGGAGGAGGAGGAGGGGGGGGAGGACGAGGAGGAGTTTCCAGGCCTTCTCGGCCACGGCGAGGGCGTGAAGCAGCTGAAGACGCCGACCCGTCTCCCAACACTCCTCGGAGATGAGCGCGCGATTGGTGTGGCGGCGTCAGGACTTTTCAGCCTCGCTCTCTCCGCGGACGGCGCCGTTTGGTCCTGGGGCTGCGGCGGGCAGGGCGAGCTGGGACACGGCGACGAGGAGACCCAGTGGCAGCCCAAGAAGATCGAGGCCTTTGCTGGGTGGCGCGTCATCGCTGTGTCTGCTGGAGGCATGCACAACCTCGCTCTCACCGCCGACGGCGGCGTCTGCAGCTGGGGCGATGGAAACGATGGCCGGTTGGGCCACGGCAACCGGTGGGGGCAGCTGCTGCCCAAGAAGATCGAGGCCTTTGCTGACAAGCGCGTCGTGGCTGTGTCGGCGGGAGCGTTCCACAGCATCGCCCTCACCGCCGACGGCGCTGTCTGGAGCTGGGGCTATGGAGTCTGTGGCCAGTTGGGCCACGGCAATCAGCAGAACCAGCTACTGCCCAAGAAGATCGAGGCGTTGGCTGGGCGGCGCGTCGTCGCTGTCTCGGCGGGATGTCTGCACAACCTCGCCATCACCACCGATGGCAGCGTCTGGAGCTGGGGCGGTGGAGGCGTGGGCCAGCTGGGCCACGGCGACGAGCAGTACCAGCTGCTGCCGAAGAAGGTTGAGGCCTTGGCTGGTCAGCGCGTCGTCGCTGTGTCGGCTGGAGATCAGCACAGCCTCGCCATCACCGCCGACGGCGCCGTCTGGAGCTGGGGCACTGGCAAGCTGGGCCACGGCGACACGCAGACCCAGCCGCTGCCGAAGAAGGTCGAGGCCATTGCGGGGCGGCGCGTCGTCGCTGTGTCGGCAGGGGAAGTCCACAGCCTCGCCCTCACCGCCGATGGCGCTGTCTTCGCTTGGGGCGAGGGTGAGCGCGCCCGCCTAGGCCACAGAGAGGACCTGTCGAACCAGCTGCTGCCGAAGAAGATCGAGGTGTGGTCGCGGGAGTGAGAGGGGGGGGGGGGGGGGGGGACTGGAGCTAGCCGCTCCTCAAGCGAGGAGTGGCGCGGTCGGTGTCACGTGCGGCGAGGCAGGGTCGCACCCATATTATGCAAACACTGCAGTTGGCTCTCGCCCACGTGTGCTGATGGCCTTTAGCCGGCGGTCGGGGCCGGGGAGCGCAAGGGAGCGGCTTTGCGACTGAGCTGCGTGAGCGGCCAGCAAGGCCTTTTCCGCTGCGTATCTACGGAGGCCAGCTGCCCACTCGCACGCGCGGGGCGTGGCGCAGCACGTCACGCACCGGGGGTCCGGGGATAAAATGCGGTGTGAGTTGTGTGTTGTGCGGACGGACCGCAAAGGGACATTGCGGCGAGCGCCAGCCAGCAGCCCGCAATGCGAATGGACGTACGGCTCTAACTAGCTTACACGTTACAGTTGTACCCGTCAAATTACGTCGGATGACCCGTGACCGGCGTACGGTGTCGACCGAGGCGCGAGGGGGGGGCTCTCACGGGAGTTACGGTAGGGGAGGGTAAGGTAAGGTAAGGTAAACGTCTCCACACACACAAAGTGGTGGGGCAAGGGGGGGCGACCCTCGCATCTCCACGCCCGGACACGGGCAGGAGCCCCACGGCATTCAAAGTGCAAGCACCGGCCCGGTGCCGTGGGTGAGCAACCTGCACCCCACTCCTACTCCTATAACACAACCCCCACAGCGTGGTCGTCTAGGGGAGGGGAGTCAGGAGAGACACCGTGCCGTCCGCGGGGACAGAAGTCAGAAGTCCCCGACTCCGAAGCGGGTCCGGTCGGGACGCTCGTCCTCGGTCACGTTAAAACTGGACATGGTCTCGCAAGTCGCATAACACGCGTGCGCACAGAACATGTCCACACGCGAAGGCGAAGGCCGCCGCGCGAATCACGCGGCGTGCCTCTCTTTCTCGTTCCTCTCCCGACCCGCCTCTTTCCCCGCCTCCTCTCTCCCCCCCCCCCCCGCCTCGGCGTGACCCTCTCCACTGGCTCCTCCGACCCGTCGCCGGCCGACGCCGCTCGCTCGCCGCCGCCGCGCGGCCGCGGCACCGCGCCTCCTCGCCTCTCCGCCTCGCCGCTCCACCCCCTGCCCGCCCCCTGCACCGGCCGGGCCGACTACGCCACCGGCAGCGCGAGCGCGAAGGCGACCAGGTTTGGGCAGCAGCCGCTTGGCAGCGAGAGGTGCAGCCGCGCCACCTCCTTGCGCAAGAACTGCACGTCCTGCACGATGCACTGCCGCGAAAAGGCGGGCGCCTAGGGGCGGGTGCATCTCGGTCATCTCGGGCTCTATCTCGGCTGTATCTCGGCGAAAAGGCGGGCGCCTAAAAGGACGCCCAGAGGCTGGGTCCCGGGATTCCCAAAAAGGCTGGCCCCATGTCGACCTGCCTGTGCCCCCCCCCCCCCCCCCCCTGGTATCTCGCCTGCATCTCGGCTGCGTGGCGACTGTCGCGGCTCTGTCGCTCGCGGCTAGCAGGGCAGTCTCGCGGCTAGCAGGGCAGTCTCGCGGCTAGCAGGGCAATGTGCGGCTAGCGGGGCAGAGGTGGCCGTGTCGACTCCGCGGTACGCTTCGAGGAGGCCGGCGTCGAAGGCAGTGAGGATCAGCTCAAACACCTTCCGGAGGGGGAGGGGGAGGGGGGGGGTGGAGGGAGAGATGAGTGAGCAGGGCAGATCTCTCGAGCGCCTTGTGCAGCTGCTGCGGCGTCAGCAGGTCGCGCAGCGTCTTGTACACGGCGCGCAAGTCGGCGGCCACCGCCTTGATGTTTGCCGACGGCTCGGGCTGCCGCTGTGCGCCCGCCTACTCAGTGATTAGGAAACGACTGATTCTGAAGTGGTCAACGAGGCTCGGGCTGCCGCTGTGCGACCGCCTGCGGCGGCGCCAGCGCGGCGGAGAGGTCCTTCACTCGCCCGCGGCGCCGCTCCTCGAGGATGGAGACGAACTTTGCGAAGATCTGCTGCTGGTGCGCCTCGAGGTCCGACTCGACGCCGTCGAACTCCTTGAGCGCGTGCCGCTGCGCCTGAGGGACGTGTTGTGGACGTGTCGCGGACGTGTCGCGGACGCGTCGCACGAGCCGCAGACGTGGCCCCGCGCGGCAGCAAGGGGCAGGAGATCCGAACGGCGAAAAGGAGAATAGCGCAGATGGCGCGGCCGCCCGCCGAGCATCAGCCCGCAAGCTATCTAAGCGGCCTCTCGGCGGCCTCTCGGCGGCACGCCTCCGGCAGGTAGGCTGCGAGGATCGCCTTGAGGTGCGGCAGCAGCGCGAGGAGGACGCCTGGGGAGATATGGGGAGATATGGGGAGATATGGGGACGCGAGGAGGACGCCTGGTGCCAGCCCACGAGGGAAGAGGCTGAGGAGGAGGGGTGCGAGGGCGAGGCGCGGAGGCGGAGCGAGGAGGGGGCCGAGGCTCTGCGATGAGAGATGTGGGGGAGATGTGGGGAGGTACGGGGAGATATGGCGCCGAGGCTTTGCGAGGAGAGCGCGAGGTGCTTGAAGGAGATGGACTTGAGTCCTGCAGAGGCGACGCTTCAGCTTGAGCCGCGAGGCAGTGCACCCCACCTGCGTCTCTGCATCTGCGTCTCTGCATCTGCGTCTCTGCATCTGCGTCTCTGCATCTGCGTCTCTGCATCTGCGTCTCTGCATCTGCGTCTCTGCATCTGCGTCTCTGCATCTGCATCTGCATCTGCATCTGCATCTGCATCTGCATCTGCATCTCTGCATCTGCATCTGCATCTCTGCATCCGCGTCTCTGCATCTGCATCTGCATCTGCGTCTCTGCATCTGCGTCTCTGCATCTGCATCTGCATCTGCATCTGCATCTGCATCGGCATCTGCGTCTGCATCTCTGCATCTGCGTCTCTGCATCTGCGTCTCTGCATCTGCATCTGCATCTGCATCTGCATCTGCATCTGCATCTGCATCTCTGCATCTGCATCTGCATCTCTGCATCCGCGTCTCTGCATCTGCATCTGCATCTGCGTCTCTGCATCTGCGTCTCTGCATCTGCGTCTCTGCATCTGCGTCTCTGCATCTGCGTCTCTGCATCTGCGTCTCTGCATCTGCGTCTCTGCATCTGCGTCTCTGCATCTGCATCTGCATCTGCATCTGCATCTGCATCTGCATCTGCGTCTCTGCATCTGCGTCTCTGCATCTGCATCTGCGTCTCTGCATCTGCATCTCTGCATCTAACGACGTCGGCAGCATCTCGGCTCATCTCGGCTCATCTCGGCTCATCTCGGCTCATCTCGGCTCATCTCGGCTCATCTCGGCTCATCTCGGCTCATCTCGGCTCATCTCGGCTCATCTCGGCCCATCTCGGGCGATCCTCGGGCGATCTCGCGCCATCTCGCCTGCCGAGGTCGGCAGCATCGCGCCCGCCATCAGCACTTGCTTGTAGGCGTGGGTGTGGTAGCCGCGCAGCAGCACGGGGAGCGCGTGCGCGATGGGCGGAGCGACGGCGGGCACCGCGGCGCCGCACTGCAGGTAGTGCACGACGGTGGAGAGGAGGATGAGGCCCGAGCCGACCACCTTGTACCCCGCGCCTAATCAATTACTCCATTATGGTAATCAAGTAATTAGGCCCGAGCCGACCACCTTGTACCCCGCGCCTAATCAATTACTCCATTATGGTAATCAAGTAATTAGGCCCGAGCCGACCACCTTGTACCCCGCGCCCGAGACAACGATGTCCGACGCGCGGCTCGGCTGCCGCTCCGCCTCCGGCTCCGCCTCCGCCGACCCGACCGCCGCGGAGACGGCGGCGGCGGCCGAGAGGTGGTCGGCGGCGGATGCGGGCGGCGCCTCCGGCACTTGGTTGGCGGCGATGGAGTCGACGAGCCGCTGGTACTCTGCCGGCACCTCGACCTGCCCCCACGCCTCCTGCTCCACCGTCGCCTCGAGCTTCTTGGTCGCCTACGTGCGCAAGCGCGCCAGCCTCGGGGCGGGAAGGCGGTGTTTGTGCCGTGTGCCTTCGGAGCAGCGCTTGGGCACACGGGGCTGCGAGTACAGTGAGTGAGGCGGAATACGGCGCCAGTACGGCGGTGGAGGGTGCGTGAGTCCGCTCGAGCGCCGGTCGGAGGACAAGAGTGCGTCTTCCGGCTCTAGGCTCTGGCTCTAGGCTCTGGCTCTAGGCTCTGGCTCTAGGCTCTGGCTCTAGGCTCTGGCTCTAGGCTCTGGCTCTAGGCTCTGGCTCTAGGCTCTGGCTCTAGGCTCTGGCTCTAGGCTCTGGCTCTAGGCTCTGGCTCTAGGCTCTGGCTCGCCTCGGCGTGAAGGACGTCGACGAATGCCTTCGCCTAACTCATTCCTCCACTACGCGGATGAAGTAGTGAATGAGTAGGAGGGCGTCCACGAATGCCTTCGCCTGCGCCGCGGCCTCCGCCGACACCGCCGCACAGCCCCTTCCGCTCAGATGCGCAACGTCGGCGGCAAAGTCGTCCGCCAAGGCGCAGAGGCTCGTGAAGGCGGCGAGGGGGAGCCGCGCGTGCACCTGCGGAAGGGGGAAGGCAGAGGTAGACGTCTCCACACGCACGAAGGTGGTGGGGCAAGGGCCGGGCTAGTCCCTCGCGACTCCACGTGTAGACGACAGGAGCTGGCACGGCATGACGAGTGCAGGGCCCGGTGCGCGTGAGTGAGGTGTGTGTGTGCGTGTGTGTGTGTGTGTGTGTGTGTGTGTGTGTGTGTGTGTGTGTGTGTGTGTGTGTGTGTGTGTGTGTGTGTGTGTGTGTGTGTGACTGTGTGCGTGCGTGGGTGTGCGTGTGTGGA